TTTGTACCCAGTAGGTATAACTCTAGTTCACATGACACAATGCTGAAGACTCCAGGGATCCAAGGAGACCCCTGTGGGCCCTTGGCCCAGGTCTCATGCACATTCCCTTCCCTTCACAGAACTAGGACTTTGCCCTATATCTGGGTGGCTCTCCCCCTGGCCAGGAGAAGGAAGGGGGAGTGCGGCTTTCCTCCCTGGCCTCCTGCATTCCTTGGGGGGAAAAGAGAGAAAGGGCTGCCTAGTTCTGAGCATTGCAAGATCATGGAGCTTGAAAAGGTATGCTTCCCCAGGGTTAATGCTCTCACTACAGTTAATCCCTGAGGTCTCTGCATTGGCATGGAGCCCCTAGGCAATGAGTACATGCAGCCCAGGGAGACATGCTTCCTCATGCTCTTGCTGCACTTAAACTCTAGGGCTCTGCTTCCAGAGGAGGGAGAGAGTTTAGGACATGCCCCTGCTCACCAGACCCACTAATGGCAAGTCATATTTGTGCAGGTTGGAGATAGTATTAAGTAACTGCTCTGAAACTGTTCTAACTTTAACACCACCTAATATTCCATAGATTTAGAATGTTTTAAGGTAACCTGTAACAGCACCCTTATAGTAGCTTCTCCAAGACCATATTTCCTTAGCTTTTTTAATGGGGTGTTGTGCGGTACAGTGTCAAAACCTTAAAGTCCAGATATAGCACATCTACTGTACCTCTATTATTATGTCATAAAATTACGGTCAGATGCTCCATTCTTCACTATTCCTCTGCTCCTTACCAGCACAGGAAAAGTCCTCAGAACAGGCTAACAGAAGCAGTCTATTTCATGCCCTCAAAGAGTCCAGGGCCTTAATCCAGTGTCTTAGACCACTTAGCCACAGGAACATATAAATTATGCAATGTTGATAAGGCGCCCATCTTAAATTCCCTACCGTTCCTAAGGAGGCATGTTACCTGACTCCTAACAGTTTCCTAATCACTAGACTATAGAGTATTTTGAGGTTTGATGAAACTTACACTGGTGAACTTCTTCAAGGTTTAAGAAGGCATTTCAGATGAGAATGCCTGGGTGGTCAGGACATTCATTTCAGTCATATCAGGTGCTTCAGTTCCACTGTCTCCCACAACTCAGAGTGCTAACCACTGGTACTTGAGCTCTATTTCTTCTTTTTTCATGAAAAGAGGCCTCAGCTTTGCCATAATGCAAACAAGGAGAACTATTTAAACCTCAAGAAGTTTTATGGGAAAGGAAAGCTGTTTCCCACTAAAGTCTAATTATCAATAGAGGAGTAACTAGCAAGTTTTGTACCCTGGGTGAAACACGGCTCGGGAGTAGGGAGGGGTAGCGGAGGAGGGGAATCAGTCTTATCTGCCCCAGGACCCCAAATGCTCCTGCCACATGGTCCACCCACCTCATTGTTGCCTGCTACTGCTATAGCAGCAGTGCAGCATCTCTGCATCCAACTGCTGCTACAGCAGTGGTATAGGGCCACTACTGCTGAAACAGCACAGCCTTCCTTGGGAGAGTTTCTTGCTCACTCACCCCTAGTTATGTTACTGGTTATCAAGCATTATTTAAGCTGTGTGTGTGACTGGATTGATTTACAACATAATTAAGGATTAATTAAGGAAGGTCATGATATAGACCTAACCAAAGTGGTACTAAACAGGAGAAGCCATAGGTTTGTTACATTTTTTTCCTTACTCAACATTTTATGATCAAAATTTGTTTATCATAAGAGCTGAGGAAATAGTTAACGCATTGCCTTAGATTAGTGCTCAAGATAAAATTAATCTCTTCTGTTTCAAAAATCTCATTTTCTGCAGGTTCAATGGATACACAAGATTGCTTAATTTGCTAAAGAGGTACACTTTACAATCCAGATCAGATTTCTGAGTGCTTTCTCTTTTAGAACTGCGCTGAAGTAAAAACAGCTAAGTGGTGAGGCTGACATTGGGTATTTTACTTATTGGAGTTCATTTTATTATTGCTTCAGTTCTCCAGTGGGTACAATTTCATCTTTTCTTAAAGGTAATCAAGGGTATAATGACAAGAATATAGACTCTCTTTCAGTTTACAAGAGCAAACCTACCTGAGGACTGGTGCCTTATGAAGACTCCTGGACAGATCAATGACACTAAATATATATATTGATCAATCAGCTATGTGTACAGGGATTCATGTTTAACTGTTTCAGAATTACTAACTAGGCAACTATTTTTCTGACCAACTAGATAAGGATGTAGGCAACCCCCACTTAGTGCTCTTAATTGGTTCTTGAAAAAACTAGTGTTAAGCAAAATGAGCATTAAGCAAAACTGAAAGTATTGGATGACCCAAGATGGTGACCACAATTGTTTTAATGACCCAAAACGGCAACTGCAATTGTTTTTAATGACCCAAGATGGTGCCCATGAGCATTATAACAAAACTCACTGAGTGCTAAGTGAAATCATGTATCAATTTAAAATGAGCGTTATAGCGCTAAGTGAAACAGAGTTAAGTGGGGGTTGCCTGTATTCCATACATCTTTAAAAAAATCAATGTTCTCATGGGCCAAATAAATAAGGGATGTCACAATGCAGACTATTACAGCTGTAATATAACTTGAAATATGAGACTATGAGTACTATGACTATGAGTACTATTTAGCCAGTAAAATGAGTCAATCTTGGATTAGCTGCTTGGGATACACATGGGAGATACTGAAACTAAAAATAACAATAATAAAAAACCTCTGATAGTCTATCACTTGGTAAATATAATGGACTGCAGAGGCTACAATACTTTTACACTACTTGAAAGAAATATCTATTAATTGGTGTTTCTACAATACTTATTTCCATAGAGCCTAAGCTCCTGACAAACCTTATTGTGACAGGTTCTCTGGACAGCCAAGTTCTTATGCTCCATTAAGTGCTTCTAGATGACCGGGTGCATCTACAAATTGTCCTACAGCACCGTAGTGATGCACTACAGTGATGTAGCGATCACGTGAGTCTACACATGATCAGTAGTTATGTTACCATAATAGTGCACCCCCCATTTTAGTGTGCTGCTACGGCGACATAGTGGTGAAATCTAACTGTGCACCATGAGCACAGTGCAGTACAGGTGGTTAGTGAACTGTGCTTTAGTACTTTCAAAAGGAAGTACTAAAGCACAGCGCCACAGCAACGTCACTGTACGGTAACTTGTAGACGAGTCCATTCTCTCCTTCCTTAATATTGTCCTTCCTTTCCCCGCTCTCCTGCTTCTGTTAACACAAACTCCTCCTGTTTCTTCTCTTCCTATCTAATATACTCCCTAGCTGACTTTACATATTGGCTTGCATGATATGTTTGCATGGTACTAGTATGATAAGTGTTTTGACTTCAGGTTTCTATGTGCCAGTGCCATATAATTAATAAATAATTAATAAAAGTAGAGTGGTAGGTATCATACAAGAGGACGCAAATCTTCCACATTTGTTTTTATAAGGCAGGGATATCCCCATAATCTACTTGGTTGTAAATCCTGAAATAACCTTAGAGGTTTATTTTCTCTTATTCTGATTTGGAAGACAATAAGAATTTGACCTTTTGTAATATTCAGTTAAAAATAGCATATTTCAGGATTTTTCTAGTTTAAAGATGAAACACAGATTTCTTAAAGGAACATGCAAGAAAGAAATACCTTGGGTTAGTAAAATATGCTCTTAAATACAGGACATGGCTCTGATCTCAACCAAGGGAGTGAGCACTGGTATATGCATTTTGTAAAATCAAGACATACAAACAAATATATACTACATTCATACTCAGCCAAATCAGTCCTTCCTTTGCATGATGTGTTCAAATAACAATAGTATAGTAATTTGTAGAAGTGTTTTTTAGCTTTTGCAGCACATAAAAAACCCCATCATCCTTGTCTGGCATGTATTACTTACATAGGGCCACAAGAATGTAATTGCAATTTTAGAGGGTCACATTTCCCTCCATAGTACTTATTAATTATGGAGAGACTGGGCAAGGAGAGTAAAGAAGACTGGCTCTTCTCTCTATTTCTGTTGACTGCAGACTCGGCAATGTTAAAAAAAGACAAACTTAACTAAAAATAAAAAAGGTTATTTTTTCTTACATTGCACAAACAAATACAACAAAAGGGGGCCAAAACAAATTTAGGATCCCCTTCTGAACAATTCTGTGCACAATCTTTTAGAAGTAAGAGAGGTTGTTTGTGCTTTCTTCAGTTCAGAAGTTGCCAAAAAATAATTTATATGACTGAATAAACATAGAACAAAATTAATTCAAAGTGCATGCCCTATTCTGAAACAGTAATGACAGCTGTAAATCCTAAAATGATTGGAGCTAGCAAGGTGATTTTTTTCCCTCCTAGATGATTTGCTTTGCTTTGTATCTGTTGGGCCTATTAGATAACAACAACCTAAAGTTTGTGGGCAGGTGCTAAGGAACTTCAGTAATTTGCTGTGAATTCTTAATCATTATACTTCTACTGTGGCACTTACTCTCCCTCAGCCTGGTGCAAAATCCCCAAATTAAGTAGTTTACTTGGGTTAGAGTACAGGCCCCAGTGCTGTTCTGAAGCTCTCCATCTTCGGTGTACTTCCTGGTAAACACTCAGGTCTGTTTCTAAGATGTCTGCACCACTCTTTCCTGGTATTTGGGATGTGCTCAGCAAACAGGAGAGAAATGCTTCATGGAGATGGTGCTTGGTGCATCATGGATGCAATGCAAAATATATACTACATATCTTACTGACTAATCCACTGCAAAAAGCACTTCAGTCTACAGTTGGCAGACAGAATTATTATACATGTTGGGTTTACCAGATGGCCATGAACACCAAAATGGTTAAACAGATGCGTAACTTTTTAAAATGGAAATGTTTGAGCTGTCAATGGTTCTCCATGATGTGCTTAAAAGAATGCATTACTGTACATGTTGTATGCACTTACTAGTAAAACACCGACTTTCTCCAGATCCATCAGCTTTTGGCTTCTCTCCACAGGAAGCAGGGAAGCTGCGTTCACCTACGCCATTACTGCTGCTGGGGTTGCACATGCTGTCACTGCCGCCTGCAGCCAGGGTAACCTCAGCAACTGTGGCTGTGACCGAGAAAAACAGGGCTACTACAACCAGGAGGAGGGCTGGAAATGGGGAGGCTGCTCTGCGGATATCAGATACGGCATTGAGTTCTCCAGGAGGTTTGTTGATGCCCGAGAAATCAGAAAGAATGCACGGAGGCTGATGAACTTGCACAACAATGAGGCTGGAAGAAAGGTATTCTAGAATAGGTGGGGAATGGGGTTACACTCTGATGGGTGGGGAGACTTTCATTTGCAATTGAACTTAACTGGGGCAGGTTATCAAGAGGAATACACTTAGTTTTTGTCTCTTTCTATACTATCATTCTGCACCCATCAAAAAATAAAAGTTACCTAAGGGCATTTATTGCTTATATTAATTTTATAGATGCAAAGATAGGTATGCATTACAGCTCCAAGAGGTATTCCCACAGTTTTTGTACCTCTACCTATTTCTGCTTCCTTATGCCCTCCTCCAGGCCTTAAGAAATGGGCTGGAGATGTCCTGGGTAGAAGTAAATATTTGCATTTTATCTCCCTCGGAAAAATCTAGTGACAACTGAAAGGGGGAGGTAGTGAAACATGAAAAGCTTTGTATGTTGCTGAACTCCCAGAGCTCTAGTAGTTACTTATTCCACCCAGAAACAAAACATTTCTTCAACCATGGCTCTAATCAATTACATACTTTGTAGCAAATGTATATCTGCAGATTTCACACTGGTGGAATACAAATAACCACATGACTAGGCAAGCATCACTAAATCTTTGGAAGAAGGCACAGTGGAATGTCTACAACCACAACATAATTCCTAATAATGAAACAATAATCATAATGGAACTCTGCCAACTTATACCCACTGAGGATCTACTGCAGTGATTGATTCTCAATCTTTTTAGAGTCAAGGAACCCCTCAGAAAATGGAACTTCTGTTGCAAATAACTCAGAAAGACCACACCAACTCTGAATGTTTTTGACGCCATGGATTCCTATTTGAAATTCCTGAGTTTATCTTGTGAATCACATTTGCACATGTAACAATGCTAACATTGTGTGGCATCCCATAGCACTCTTGAAGGGATATCAAGGCACCCCAAGGTGCCATAGTGTCCTGATTGAAAATCAGTGATCTAGTTCCTCAACTCCAAACACCTGGAGTGTTTAGAAGAAAATAAGAAATAGAGTTTCACCATAAAAACAGATTTTATGGTACTCCTTTTGAAATATTTTCACTGTAGGAAATGAAGCTTACTTATATATTGAATATATAACACACACACACACACTCATGGGGAGTAATTTAGTGGGCTAGATGTCATGCTGGGGGGCCTCATGATAAAATCAATCTGTAGTGCAATATCTTTATGTTTGGTAGATGTAACATTGGCAGCTACCACTGAAAAGTCCTCTTGTGTGCTGCATAGAAATGCTACATGGGACAAAAATAACTCAGAGACTACACTTGGAAACCCCTATAGTAAGAGTTCTATTATACTATACAAAGAGAAATTTAACCTATCACATCCTTGCAGGCTCCTTCCCTGAACCATTGTGTGTTGTCTTTGCATCAGTGGTACATTAACTGTTTATTCAGTCTCAGAGGTAGCTTGATTTTGATGGCAACTGAAATGGTTCCTATACAGAATGTATTTGGATATTGCCAGGTAAATTGTTGGAATGAAAAGCAATATATAAATGCAAGAGAAAGAAAGCAGATGGGGTCTATAATCTGGAGTGCAGGACTAGGAGTCAGGAACTCCCAAACAAGATGGTGTTAGATATTTTGGTATTGTAGCAGGACACTAAGATGCCTGCTACTCTCAGAGCAGAGGCAGGAACCCAGTTGCCGGAATAAACAGTTAAGGAAGAATTGGCCACACCTGCACCTGGTCAGCTGACCGGAAGGGGCAGGGCCTGGCTCCCACATAAACCCAGGCCTAAGGCCAGGAGAGTAGTCTCCTGCTAGCAGCCAAGGGGGAAGGAGCTTTGCCTGAGTGAGACAAGAAAAGAGGTCTGACTGCATGAGCAGCTCCAGGTGCTGTTATGGAATGGAGTATTCCCTGGTAGGGACTGAATGATGTTTTAGCTGGGTGGCTTGGATTTTTGTTATAACCTAGGGGCTTTGTGTTTGTGTTTGTGTTTGCTTTTACTGGAGGTTTGGGTGAGGCTATCAAGGGATGGAGGAGGCCTCATAGGGGACCTGCAGCAGCGTGGGAAACCCCAGCCCCAGAGAGAGGGGGTAGTGAGCGCCAGTAAAGGTACAGAGTGAAATAGCCCTGTGGAAAGCCCAGGGAGGACAAGGGGAGGGCCAAATTACAACAAGGCCCCAGATCAAACTATGTCAGTATCATCTGCAAGGCTTAGGCTGCAGTGTAGGGGAGGAACAGGAGCCACAGATAGCACCCCCTAGCTGCGGGGCAGAAAATGGTCAGCCTCCCGCTTAATTACATCAATTAATCAATTAAGATCAAGGCATGGCAGGAGAGAAGGCAGGCAGTTAGCCTATAACAGGAGGGCAGGATCACCGATAGAAGGACTCCAGAAGAGGCATTCCTGTCATAGGTATCTTGGTGGAATGTCGGTGTTATGGTAGAAAGCATCCTTTAAAGGGGCAGGTTCACCTAGATGGTGAATAGGGCAGGCCCTGACAGCTGTGTTGGAGTGTTGTCTCATTGTTGTGGGTAGAGTGGGAGTGGTTGCCTCATTTTTTGCATCAGCACTTAATTTTGCTTAAGCCTCAGCAGAGGCTTTCTGGAATGCATGTTAAAGAACCACAAAACCATTTGGTGAATTTCTGAAGTGAACAACTTCCTGTTTGGTATTGTGTTAGTGCCCCAAAGTCCCACCTAGCGGTATACTCTCACTATGCTGGGGAGCTCAACACAAGCACATGTTAAGGCAAGAGCTGTCTTAAGGTTACAGTTTAAATAGGCAAGATGGACAAAAAAGTGAGAGTGAGAATTAGAATTATCCAAGGTCACATAACTGATCAGTGGAAGAGTTGAGGGCATTCCAAGTCTTCTGACTCCCAGACCACATCAACCTATACAGTAAAGTAACCATGCCAGCTGCAGCACCTTCATGTTGTTCTCTGGGGTTTTGCCAGACGTGCATCCAGTTTTGTCTTCTTGTAGATTTCACTCTGAGAGGTTTCACATGACTGTCACTGATGTTTATGTTAAAAAAACCTGTACTTACCACTGGCTTCCTGCTTAGTGCAGCACTGCAATGCTGAATCTGAATTCTCTCACTCCCAGCCCCTGCTTGATCCAAACTGCAACATGCAGTATGACTTTTCAGAATTTGAAGGAAATTGGATCTGATCCTCATAGATGAGGGTCACACCTATCATGAACAAATATGAGGACAACCTTTCCTTGTTCTGAAGGAAGGCAGCTAAGACAGTGTCATTTATGATGTCGCTTATCTTTTTCACCATGAGAATTTGCCAGCTAAGGCAGCTCTGACTTCACTGAGATTTGAATCAAGACCTTGGCAACTATGTTTCAAATGTCTTTATCATTTTAAGCCTCAGGGGAAGCAGTTGGGTATCCTACACAAGAGGATAGTTTTCCACAAGTGGTACTTTATTTGTCTGCTCTACACCTCTACCGGTGCAATGCTTCCAGCTCCCCAGCTGCCATGTTGCCCCTCATTTCACATACATCCAGGAACCAGAGCCACAAACATAACAGAACCTGTAATATTTTGCTATTGTAGGATTGATCTCAAAATCCGGCCTGCTGGTATTTTACTGCAGTTAATAATAGAGCACTAAGGAATTTCTCTCTGAGGGGGGAAAAAACAATGCACTGTATAAATAATTACATGAGCTTTGCAAACAATTGAGGAAAAAAGTTAGTGGAAGCTCTTAAAATTTATTCTGTGGCTAAGATACTCTAGACTCCTTCATGGTAATAGGGTAGTCCATGAATAGGGCAGATATTTCAGTCTTCAGGATATTTTTCAAGGGGGTAGGATAGGTCAGACTAATTGCACTGTATTGCATGTCCAGTATTATCCAAACTAATATCACATTTGTGAAGTTTGTTACTGCATTTATAATAAACTACAGCAGGTGGAAAATGACAAAGTTGACATTAATACAGTTTGGAAGAAAGAAGTGCTTATGAATTTTGGTTAAATAACTAGATGCTGCTGCCTGAATAAATGTGGTCTGTGTCAGAAAAGTACCATGCTGAGTAAAATACCAAAGAATTTAACTTCCAAAATGGCTCCTAGGGATCAGAATAAATAGAACAGCAACAAATAAAACACACAACACTTGGAAATCTATTTCAGCATTTTCCAACCAGTGCTGATGACACTGGTGTGCTGTCAGGCATGAAGAGGTGAGCCGCGGAATTGGAAGAGTCACACAAATAAATAACTAAATGAACTCCCTGTCTGTAATGCTCTTGGAGGGCATGGCTCCTAGCAGGGCATGTCTCCACCCCATGCCACGCACCACCCCCAGCTCTGCGGAGTGGCAGCAACATGGGGCAGTGGGCAGAAGCGGTGGCCATATTATCTGTTGGGGGTAGGGGGAGGGGTGGTGTGCCACAATTTTAAAAAACATATGCAAGTGTGCCATAGAATAAAAAAGGTTGGAAAATGCTGATCTAATGTATGTCTTGTTCAAGTATTCTTATGAAAAAAAAATCAACTTCAAGTTTACGGCAAATCTGAATGGTTACAAAGATATACCTGAAGAAAACTTTGATGCAGTATTGAGACATTAAATACTAATACAAATTAGTAAACTTCTGAGGCCCGTTTATTAAACAACTTTCCACTGTGCATTTTTAGGACGTGAGCATCTCTGTTCTGGGATAAATAAATGTAGAAATGGTGTAAACTGTGAACACATACCACTGACCTTAAGTTTTTTGTTTAGAGCAGCAACACAATGACTGAGGCTCATAAGAATCTCAATTAGAAAAATGAGTGTTTTTTTTCACGTGGAAGTAAAGAAAAGGATGACAAATTAGTAGCACATCACAGCTTTAACCCAAAAGATGAAAATAAATGGTTTCCAGCCATTTATCAATCAATTAGGCTCTTACTGTAGACAATGACTGTGTTTACATGGAGAAAAAGCTGGCCCATGTCTCTTTTTCCTCCCAGAAACACACTCATATAACACTGAATGCCAGGAGCTGTCTAATAACATCCCCACATTTATTTCTTTGTAATGTCGCTGGGGTTGTTTTTTGTTTTTTGTTTTTGAATGCCTGGAAGATGACAACATCTTATTTTATATTTGAAACAATAAGAGTGTGGGGACAACATTTTTTCAGGCTCTCTTTATGACAGATTATTCAATTACTTAGGACAACATTTTCATACAAACCATGACTATTTCTCACAGCTTCTGGTGCCATAGGACTGTGGTACTGGGAAGGGTTTTTGCAGACATGCTCTGGCAGTGGATCAGCTAATAAGTTGATTTGCAAAGTACTGATCATTTCTTAAGAGGTGCCAGGTCTTCTCAGCTCCAATTGTCTTATACTAGCCAATTCCCAAAATAAAGAAGGTGGTAAAAGTTTTCAAAAGCACCTAGGTCACTCAGGAGGCAGCACCCCATTTTAAGAGTGAAAGTTGAGAGCCTAAACTACTCTTGGCAATGGTAGTTAGGCCCCAGACTCATTTGGTTGCTTTTAAAAATGTTACCTTCAGTGTCCTGCAGGCCTGGGTTCATCACTTTCTAATATTTTCCCCCTCTAGGATCTGGAATGCAGGATCAGGAGTCAAGACCTCCCAAACACAGTGGTGCTGGGCATTTTGTCACCTTCATAGAATTTGGGCAGTATAGTAGAAAGCCTCCTTAAAAGGGGCAGGCTGTCCTAGATGGTGGGGCAAACTTCATTGGATGTCCATTTTGGATGTATTTGTTGAGGAAAATATTCTTGTAATTCTGCCTGATGGCATGCTTCCTATGTTTCTGCTTAAACTGATCTGCAGGCAGATATTAATCCAACTGCAGAAGTTCAGAGTTAAAACGTGGCATGTTTAGTTAGAGAGCTAAAACTTATTCATGTTTCTCAAGCCTGAATACTTCCGCTCAGAATCTCATGAGGACAGTTCTCTTGTTTCCAGTTAGGCTGCAGATATAGTGACAATAACTTCTTCCTCAGTGTTTTTGCTCCTCTGCTCAAAAGCAAACGGGCGGGGGGGACAGGGGAGGAGGGGAATATGGAGAAAATCAAATAAATTGGAAAATGCAGAAAAAGTGCAGATCTAAAAATAGACAAAAGTTTATGGGATTTACATCTAGGAAAGCCAATGCCTGTTTGTAGTAATATGTCAGTGTCCAGATGCCATGTTGTTCCTATGTGTCTGTTGCTCTTATAGAGGGTTTCATCTGAATACATGATATGGAAAATAGTCCCAGGTGAAATGTTGCTCAAAAGAGATTTTTGCTCTTATCAGTATTGCTGAAGCTAAGGTTTGACCATAACTATAAACATGCAATGTATAGAGTAAACGCATACCATTCACTGTATAACACACAATTCAACAAGAATCCCCCTCTTTCTTTATAAATGTAGTATCCAAAGCCAAAAGCAGATCTCTTGCGTGTTTAACAGGAAAATTCTTAAAGTTTTCTATTTCTTTTTGATACTGCAGTTAAAAAGTAACATGGATTTCGTTACATTCAGCATCTGGTCCAAAATACGCATTTCTACTAAAGAAAAGACAAACCAGGAAGGCAAGGCCAAAATAAACATACACAACATGTTACTATTGTTTTTACATATTTTATCCAGATAGGATTTTCAATATGAACGGAAACTGTATCTGAAATTATGCAGCTGAGCTTAGCTTTCAAATGAGCTTGCTTTTATCATGTTATTTTGCTTATATTCTTGTTTAAGAACTTTTTAAAAAAATGAGCTTTTTTAGAACGTTTTTCTGTTTAACTTGCAAAAGACAACTCTCAGACTGAATTTCTGTGTGTGATTTATATAGGTACAAAATATAAAGAATAAAATACATCTTTATCATCATAGTTCACAGTTCATTTAATAAAGTAGCAGTAGTTGCTAGAAAATTTTACTTGGCAAGACCATATTAGAGCTGGAGTGGGGCTGTACCTGGAAAGTGGACCTAAAGAATGTTCCTACAGTTAGGCAGAGGCAGCAAGTCAAATGATGGGAATTTGCTTGGGGAAGTAGATCTAATTGTAAACTAGTCAAGGTTAGATATGAGATGTTGACAGATGACAAATGGTATTTTTGAAGGAGTGGGTCACGCAAGTTAACGATTTTCAATCTTTAATCAGCCACCCAACTTGGCAGAATGCATTAGATCTGAGTAAATAAGTACCTTTTAGGTTCAGGGTCACTATTCGAACAGGAGTTTCTCTGAGGCAAACCAAGTCTGAGGAAAGAAATAGGAAGAAAAAGGTCTGTTGACTTCCAATCACAATATTAAGGGCCAAATTCTACCACCTCTCCGTTTTCAGCAGTACCTTACTGTGCACATAGGGAAACCAGTGGAGATAGTTAAATTGTAAGGTACTACTCAATAGGAGTGAAGGGTAGGCAACAAAAGCTGTGTGGGAAAAGAAGGAATTCCTCTTTGGAGTCTGCATATTTTGAGGCTGAGACTCCCTGCCCTCCAATTTTGTGGGCACAATTTTGCACCCACAACTAATTGTGGACACAAATTATAGCATTTAGCAACCTAACTACGTGATGATTGGGTCTGCACACAATATTGTAATTCTAAGTATTCAAGTCATGAGCTAAGCCTCCCCCCCCCCCC